GAAATCATCTCAAGATAACCTCAAGATATACTCTTCTCCTTGCTCCCCTACCCGCTCCCTTTATCAATCTACCACTGGGGTTTAATGTGATTACCGTTACCAGGCCTATGTCGATCTTGCAAGCAGAGTTTTCTATTTTTATGGACGCTTTTCAGTAAAGAAACATTCTTGTTGCTGTTGTTTAGAGAGACTAACAGCTCTCCCTGCGACTGTTCGTCCTGATTTTCCCCAGACAAGATCTGTCAATTGTTTTACACTCAGGGTCAGTAATTGATCGGTGGACAGTGACTATTACCTCTCCTCCTTGCTCTTGTTGGACAACAGTTATAGAATGGTACTCAAGCGTTCACTCCTCTCTATTGGAACCCGGGTCGTGCTCCCATGTTAGACGAATGAGAGGGGTGTGCTAGGGTGTGCTAACTACCACTCCACACACGTTAATGACGCGAACATATGATTGTTGCGTGGTAGATAATGTGATGTGATGGTATGTGTGTGTGTGTGTGTGTGTGTGTGTGTGTGTGTGTGTGTGTGTGTGTGTGTGTGTGTGTGTGTGTGTGTTTTATCCTGCGTCACCTCCCTCGCTCACCCCACCTCGCCTCTATGACCAGTGGTTCACCTCGCAGATACTGGCCCACCTGTCAGGCGCCCACACTATGGGCACGTTGTCGGCCTGTATGGGCACGTTGTCGGCCTGTATGGGCACGTTGTCGGCCTGTATGGGCACGTTGTCGGCCTGTATGGGCACGTTGTCGGCCTCTATGGGCACGTTGTCGGCCTCTATATGCACGTTGTCGGCCTCTATGGGCACGTGGTCGGCCTCTATGGGCACGTTGTCGGCCTCTATGGGCACGTTGTCGGCCTCTATGGGCACGTGGTCGGCCTCTATGGGCACGTTGTCGGCCTGTATGGGCACGTTGTCGGCCTCTATGGGCACGTGGTCGGCCTCTATGGGCACGTGGTCGGCCTGTATGGGCACGTGGTCGGCCTGTATGGGCACGTTGTCGGCCTGTATGGGCACGTGGTCGGCCTCTATGGGCACGTGGTCGGCCTGTATGGGCACGCTCCCTGGCTCTATGGGCACGCTCCCTGGCTCTATGGGCACGCTCCCTGGCTCTATGGGCACGCTAGTACAAGAGCCACTCCAATATCCAGCAGGCTACACTAAGGACATACCCATCACTACAACACCTTACGTGAAGACTGGCCCAGGTATTGATCTATTACTATTTTACACTAAAAGGTGTACATTTTCTAAATCACTAAAAGGTGTAAATTAATTTCATGATAAAATCATTTCAAGACAATGGGGTGAGGACACGTCATTCTGGTGGTCTCCAGACACCTGACTCAAGCCACTCTGCTGGTCGGGGTGTGTCGTGGCTGAGTGGGCTAAGGCAGGTGTCCAGGCATCACCAGAGCGCCGGTTCAAGTCATCCCATTGCATCAAAATGATTCCCTCACCGATATATCACGCCATTGTGATTTCTTTGTGATATGTATACTTTATGCATGTCAGGTTTCATTCATACTAGATACCCTGGAAACCGAAACTGTCTTTATTTTCCGCTTGTTACAACTTGTAATAAAGTTGTTACATCTTGGCTTAACGTGTTTATGACGTATTAGAACGTTGTTACAAATTGTTATATTGGTTGTTATAACTGGTTAGGAAGTGTTAAAACTTGTTCGAACGTTGTACCAACGTCGAAGCTTCGGTGTGTGTTTGGCGGGTACTTACTTATCAGCACTTGTCTAACAGTGACTAAGGGAAGGTGAGGTCTGGCTCCTGGCACCACCTGCTGGCCTTGTATTCGTTGCCAGAACCAACTGCGCTCCAGAACTGCTCAGTTAACTGTATTTCACAGTAGTTACTTCTTGTGAAAACCTAGGCGTTCACAGGCCCGGGAGCTTGACCCTAGCGGCCGCGTACAAGGGCGCATGCGTTAGTTTGTATCACACGGTGTAATAAACAAGTGCATTCTCTCAAATACAAACTACATAATATAGCCTCGTACATAGAGACATACTCGCATCACTGTACGAGATGTTCCCCAATCGCACTTATAATAACTTATTATAAGGCCCGGTACTCGACCAGGCCTCCACCCCCCAGGAAGCAGCCCGTGACAGCTGACTAACACCCAGGTACCTATTTTACTGCTAGGTAACAGGAGCATAGGGTGAAAGCTACGAAGGCTACCAAGGTTGACTCCTCTCTTCCCTTCCCACGGGTCATCTGCCCTCAGCGCTTCTCACAAGAATCTTCCACGCTGGAATTTCGAGAGCTGGATGATCTACGGCAAGAGGAGAATACCTCGCCAATTTGACCACAGTACAGAACGTTCAGAACTAGAATAAGTTAATGACATTATCAAAATTGAAACTTGTTATGATGTTAATAAAATAATGCGAATATTTGAGAATTGTCTTATTTCATATTCCTTCCTTCATATTGCCTCGCGGCATGCTGCGGGAGTCTTGCTTGGCCTCGCGGCATGCTGCGGGAGTCTTGCTTGGCCTCGCGGCATGCTGCGGGAGTCTGCTTGGCCTCGCGGCATGCTGCGGGAGTCTTGCTTGGCCTCGCGGCATGCTGCGGGAGTCTTGCTTGGCCTCGCGGCATGCTGCGGGAGTCTTGCTTGGCCTCGCGGCATGCTGCGGGAGTCTTGCTTGGCCTCGCGGCATGCTGCGGGAGTCTTGCTTGGCCTCGCGGCATGCTGCGGGAGTCTTGCTTGGCCTCGCGGCATGCTGCGGGAGTCTTGCTTGGCCTCGCGGCATGCTGCGGGAGTCTTGCTTGGCCTCGCGGCATGCTGCGGGAGTCTTGGGGATCTTAGAGAAGTTGAGCTCTGCACACTCCAGTTCCCTCGCCGCGGTAACTGTATATATACCCCCAGTGAATACATACCCCCCCCCCTTGTGTATATATATATACCCCCAG